TTCAAGGACCAATACAAGGCGTGGATTTTTTAAAGAATATTTTTTAAAGGACCAATACAAGGCGTGGATTTATTAAAGAATATTTTTTCAAGGACCAATACAAGGCGTGGATTTATTAAAGAATATTTTTTCAAGGACCAATACAAGGCGTGGATTTTTTAAAGAATATTTTTTCAAGGACCAATACAAGGCGTGGATTTTTTAAAGAATATTTTTTCAAGGACCAATACAAGGCGTGGATTTTTTAAAGAATATTTTTTCAAGGACCAATACAAGGCGTGGATTTATTAAAGAATATTTTTTCAAGGACCAATACAAGGCGTGGATTTTTTAAAGAATATTTTTTCAAGGACCAATACAAGGCGTGGATTTTTTAAAGAATATTTTTTCAAGGTGAGTTAAGGTCATTGATGTCCTTCAAACCCATATCCTCATATTTTTTAATCCCATATTAAAGAACATTCTCTTTGAATTCGATTTAGTATTGTGTAAGGTATTTTGTTGTCTTTCAATTTTTGTTATTTTTATTTCACACTTCCACGTATGGATTACTGCTATTCAGTACTCACTCATCGTCTTGGATATTTATGTACTTCTAACATGGAATGGTTACGGCACAGTGTTTAAGAAACGACATTTATGTACTTCTAACATGGAATGGTTACGGCACATTGTTTAAGAAACGACATTTGAATTGAAGGATTTCTTTATTATGCTTAAAAGTATTAAAGTATTATTCCAAAATACTGTACACCATTACGAACCCTTTTAAGTATCCCATTGTAGTCGGTAAACACTTTATGGGTGAGTATTGTAAGGTATTTATTATTATTGTGATGGTCTGTGATGTTGTGTGTATGTGTTTAGTTACACTTTTATTGTTAATGGTGCACTTTGAACCACAGCAACGATTGAATGTGTATCATAAAAAATCCTCGCATTCGCAAGAAGGGTTCTTCACGTAGTAGTTCGTAGCTCAATTTAGGTGCTTTCATTTATATTTTATAAATGACTTTTCAACATGCAGACCTGGTAATATTTTTTCTGTAAATTACGAAATATCGAACATTTTCAATTGTATGAAGTTAACAGAGACACATGTACACACACCCACACTCAAGGATCTCATCGACTGGGGATTGTTGTTTGTGAAAATCTGTTTTGAATTTAGTTGGAGGGAAATAGTTGTAAATTGCTTATCTGGTGAAGGTTTTTGTGTTTTTGTTTTTTGGACTTTCGTAAAAATTACAGTAATTGAGTTTTACTAATATGAAATTTAAATTGAAGTATTTAAATTGAAGTTGAGATTTTGTTTTTGAAAACGTTTTTCTTTTATCTACTTTACCAATATGGCTAGTGGTTTTATGTTGATATGATGTGTAATTGGAGTAGTCAATAAAATAATTTATTCATATAAAAAGGAAGTGCTGCTTTTCCAAGACCCGTCATCCCTCGCTTAGTGAAAATTGCAACTAAAATCTAAATTAATCAAATCAAAAACGATTAAAAAGGATGTTAGGTTCGTCCGGACGAACTTTTTATACCCTCCATCATGAGGATTCAAAATATCTAAAATTAATGGGGGCTTTTAAGAGAAATTTCATGTTATGATAAGACCTTTAACATGCCGAAAAAGATTTAAAAAGGATTAGTTAAATTTTCAAAATACCTAATAGGCTACCGTTATATGTTGCTATACAAAAAATGAGGAACGATGTTGATAATAGTTTGTAGTCATCCTGTGGCATGTGGCATAATTGTTTTAAACCACATATTCTCCAAATGTTATTATTCAATAACAAGCAAAAAACTCAATTATCCTATGACCGTCATTTTAGAAAAAAGTAAGGTCCAATCACACCTCTGGACCAAAGAGCACAGCAAACTGTGAGTTTTTCAAGATGTAATATTCTCTCTTCAATTGCTTGAGGATTGTCAGAATTCCAAAACGACAATTTTGTTTATTAACATACCCACCGAGTGAGAAATGTGTTATATCGCTGAAGAAAATTTTGTCGACAAGTTGGCTTCCACCGCCTCTTGTCCAAGATCCCTTTCCACGCATTTACGACGTTATGACAGGTCAGCTGGTTTCAATGTTTGCATGCGCTAGACTTTATATGGATGTAGGTATAGATCTGAATACAAAATACGTCATTATGTGCCAAAAGAAAACATAACCCCCTCTTAAAGCACGATATGTGGCTGTGTTAGAAGCAAAAATTTTTTGCAGAAGATTTTGAACGTTTTTATCCGTTGATAGATAGTTACGTGATCAATTTTCGTCAATTTCGGACTTTTAACTGAAAAGTAAAAATTATTTTAAAATCATCGTTTGACAGATATCGAATTCCAGACCCATACTTTTTTTAAGGACCCAATACAAGGCGTGTATTTTATAAAGAATATTTTTTTAAGATGGCACCCAAGGCGTGCATTTGTTTAAAGCATTTTTAAAGGTCTCAAAAGAGTATTTAAAGGTCTTGTGACGTGGGTTTTTTAAAGATTTCAACAGGCCTCTAGACGTTGATTATTTAAGGATTTTATAATCCTAGCTCTATCAGTTCATCCAAAATTCAGTATGTACGAAATTAAGTACAATTTAGTACCCATAAGTATAAATTTTCAAAACTACATCTATACCCCAATCCTACACTCCAACAGTAACCCTATTTCCAAATTTCAGTGTTCTAGCTCTATCGGTTCCCCCAAATCCACATTTGTTACCATTTTGTACATATTAGTACACATTTCCAAATGCTACACATTCCGATGCTACACCCAAACAGTGACCCTAACTCCAAATTTCAGGATTCCACCTTTATTGATTTACCAAAATTTAAAATGTACCAAATTTAGTACACATTTCCAAAAGTTTAAAAACCTTCTACAAACCCCAATCCTACACCCCAACAGTGATTCTGACGTGAAATTTCAAGATTCCAGCTCTATCGGTTCACTCAAATGCAAATTGTACCAATTATAGTACGATTTAGTACTTTTCGTACACATAAGTAAAAAAATTTCAAAACCACGTACATATACCAATCCCACACTCCGACGGAAATATTAATTTCAAATTTCAGGATTCCAACTCCATCCTTTCAAATTGTACCAATTTTAGTAACGTTTTGTACTTACTGACTAAACATTTCCAAAACCACCTCCTAATATCGACCCTACTTCTCAACCTTGATTCGCATTCAAGTTTTTGTTCTATCCGTTCACATGCTACGAAATTGTTACAAATTTAGTAAATTTTAGTACTTTCGGATACTTATAGTTCAAATGTCCTTTAAAATATTTTTCGTGCCGTTTGAATTTCCAAAGACCCAGCCTTATCTGACACCTTTGGACTCACCCGAAATTTCAAGAATGATATTTAAACGAATCTAGATTGGATTTGTATTTTTAGGGACTTTTAAAAACACCTCAGCGTTATTTTTCTAAGACCATGACCTCCGATTTTTTATAGAATTTCAAAGTCGCTTAGTATCGACTTTATGGAAGACTTTAAATGAATTCATAAAAGTCCCTATTCATCGGCTATTTGCGCTTAGCATAACATTTTTGATGAAGTTTTAATGCATTTGTCTTCTAAATTCATTTGACTTCTAAATTTTGAATGCGGTGGTGTTAACAATAACAACAAAAAGACAAAAGGCGATATATGAAAACAGGTAAATTAAAAAAAAAATATGTTTGGTTTTGCTTAAATTTTTTGGTGTTTTGAAAAAGGGGAGTTTTTGTAAATATTTCGAGGTGATCGAATCGGAATTGCAAATTTAACCTTGCGCCGGAGGGGCTACTCATTGCTCCCAAAACAACATTTATCTACTAAACTTTCAAACCAAATAGCCAAAACAAAATTTACAAAAACTCCCCATATTCTTTATGTAAAACTTTTCTTCAAATCATAATTTCATATGCAGCAATGTTTAGCATAAATTCTTGTGCTGTTATGACATTCACGTTCGTAGAAAATTTAGTTTTCTTTGAAAACATATAATTTTGTCCAGTCCCGTCCCCGCCCCCATTGCTGCTGCGACCAAAAGCAAAAGAATTTCTCATATTTTATTGAACTCGTTGCAAGTTGTTTGTTTGCTTTGTTGCCTGCCACCCCACATTCGCTTATATAAAATGCAATACAATATTCAAACTCTTTTCCTCGAAGCCCTGTGGGGGGTGGTGTTGTGGTTACGCTTGGTTCGCTTTGTTACGTTACGAATATTGTGTTTTGTTTTCTAAATTCGATTTACAAAACAGTTATATTTTGCATTGACTCGTTTGCCAGAAGGCTTCAGCGAGTGTACCTGTGCATGGTGATATCGGATGATTTGGGTAAACTAAGCAGAAGTTACAACGTAGGATTGCATGCAAAAAAAATGTCATTGAAAAATTTATTAGAGAAGGGAGTAATGGCGGGGCTATCAGGTTTGATATGGTCTTAGGTAATTTGTATATATTTGGATTTCCTCGAAATGTCCCCATTTTTAATATTAAATAACTAAGTAAATCTATTTGTTTTTTTTCGAAAAATATCATAGATTTATTAAATATATTTTTTCATTGACTACCAAGACGTGGATTTATTTAAAAATATTTTTTCGAACGGTTATCTATAAATGGTAATTCCAAGTGCCCAATCAAATGGTGAATACAAATTCTTCCCACAGTATAAAAGCTTTTATATATTCACCATGAATGTTTGGTTGTTGTCTGTACTTATTCAATTGTGAAGCAGTCCCAACATTATAAACTAGTTTTACTATAAAATATTAAATTTATTGGTCTGTTCCCGTACTCCAAGAATCTACTACTTTTTACTACGATAACGAATTTTCCTTTATGATATCGAAGAAAATAGTAAAATCTAGTAGATTCTTGCAGTACGGGAACAGACCATATATGTTAATAAATCCAAAGTATAATTTCTAAAAAAATCGTTGGAATGAATTCCAAAAATATACCACAATTTATTTCTTTCTTGATTTCATTTATTATTTTTTTCTTATCTTCTCCAATACCAATGGAATATTTTGAAATCTATTCATTGTAAAGAATTGCAAACCATACACATCCACCTCATCACTACTCAATACTGCATCAATCATTTCAACCCCCTTCTTCACAGCATATTCCTTAAATTGTCCTTCACCCAAATCATTCTGGCGACGATATTCCTCTAAATCTCCCGTGGACATTTGAATTTTCGTTATACGCAATATTGCCTCCAACATTCGTAAATTATCTGGAACAAATATACCCACTAATATGGGGATTTTTATATTTCTTCTGCGACACTTTTTTATAAAATCAATAATCGGTTGTGATGAAAAACAAATTTGTGTTATTATAAAATCGGCACCGGCTTGAACCTGAAATAAAATAAAGACAACAATAAAATTATTGTTTATTAAAATTAATTGAATGGTGGTGACAATAATGATGCAATATACAAATAAAGTGAACAAAAACAAGCAAAACATGACAATTGAGAGCGCCTTAATCGGTGGTACTAGCAGGGGATTTTTTTTTTTTTTTTTTGTTAAACACTTGTTTGGTGTTGTTTTTTTACGCATGTTATTGTTTTGGGATTTATAGTTGTAAACGTTTATTCTCCAAAGAAAATTTAATACTTTATTTAAAATTGCCCTAATGCATTTGTCACTATTATTGATTGCTTTTGCAATTCATTCACTGGGTTAATGGTTAACGAGGAAAGCTTATTGGTACTTGCGAAGATCATTTAAAGTCTTAACATTTGATATATACATAAAATATACAGTCAACTCCACAATTTGTATATTTTAATCAAAACAGTAGGCCCCATCCCAGTTCTTTTATTTTATAAAACTAGGTTTTATTAGTGGGAAATGTGGCAAAGAGGTAAGGCAGGTTAGATTATAGTTTTGGATCTCGCCACAGATCGTCTTTACATTTATCTTTTAAAAATCGGTCTTGAAAAAACAATTATAAAAATACTACGATTGATGAGTCCTTAAAAAGATATTGTTTTAGTTCTTGAAAAAATAATTTGTAAAATTTCTTCACTTTATTAGTCTTTGAGTTTTTTTTTTTTAAATCTACGCCTTGTCCTTGAAAAATAATTTGTAAAAATTATCATTGAAAAAAAAATATTTTGTTTTTGAGAAATAGTCAGGCTTAATCCCAGTTTGTTGTTTTTATAAAAAAACAACTATTTATTAGTGGGGAAAGTATGGCATTGTCCGCCGAGGGGTAAGGCAGGGAAGATTGTAGTTTCGGATCTCGCCACTGATCCTCATCAGTTCCCTTAGTTTTTTGTTGGGATATTCTCCCCAGAAGTTATTAATAGCTTCTTTACAAAAAACATTTCAAATCCAAATGTCTCTTGTGACAATTCGAAGTTCTTACGTTACCAGCGATACGACCCCAATGAGAAGTTTGTTTCGTTGGCGCCTGACTTCGTGGTCAACAAGGCATTTGCACACAACTACAATACATTTCCCACTGCTATGTGTCGTCACTTTGTGACGAGTGCACATAACGTTGTTGTTGGTATTGCTAGTTAAAGCAATAAACCAAACAGTATGACCGTGCCTCGTCTACAACAAACTGGGATTAAGCCTGACTATTTTGCAAAAACAAAATACAAATGGTATCCTAAATAACCCGCCAACACTACTGAAAAAAAAAAAAACATTTTAAAAATCTACGCCTTATAATTCTTAAAAATATAATTTGTAAAAATTCTACGCTTTATTAGCCATTGAAAAACTATTTTTTAAACCAGTGAGCGGAACAGTATAGTCGGACGGGTCCCATCATATGATACCACGAAAATCTACTTTCTGTGGTTCTATATTGTGATCTTGGGCGCGATATTTGCACCTTCTTAACCGACTAGAGGTCAACAAATACTACTAATATTCAGTGCAGCCCTTCTAATTACTTGTCCAGATTCACTTTGTGTTGTGATGTTCGGCTTTCAATTGTGTTTTCAGACCACTTCATCCAAAAATACCATAGAAAATTATAGAAGTTGTCCTTGACCATACCTGGATCCTCATGTACATTTTTAAAGCGATCAGCGCCATATTTCCTTCCTGTAGTGTGGTAATGGGTTATTAAATAAATATTTAAGTTCAACTCCCACATCCGAGTCGATTTAAAGATCAACCACTCCTATTGGATATACTATGAACTTCTCGGGTCTGTGTCCTTCAGGAGTAAATATATACGCTATAGAATACAAATTTTGTCATTTTTTACACAAAAGTCAGAGCCCATTTGACCCGCTAAATATTGACCGATCTTTATCAAAGCTGCCATGCGTATTCGTTTGTTCGATCCCCTTCTCTTGATTCTCCACGAGGTTTGGGCCATAATTGCGGTTTTTGGTCCATTTCATCCCCTAAATATTAACCGGTCTTTACCAAAAACAATAGGGGTCTTCATTGGCCAGAGTTCATCTTGCGTAAAAAATTTAGGGAAGATTGGTCCATAACTGTTGGCTGTATCGTATTTACAAATTATAATGAATAGACGGACAGACGGATGGACACACATGTCTAGATCGACTCAGCTAGTCGAGATATGACGATCGGTATATTTAAAGGTGGGTCTAGGTCCAATATTTCGCGGCGTTACAAACTCTTGGGGCTGCACAAAGCTATAATACCCTGACAACAAAGTTGTGTAGGGTATGAAAATCAACGCTTTGATTTAGTACTAAAAAAAATGTTTGGAAAAAATCCACGCATTGTTGAAGTAATTGAAAAATTAGTTTTTAAAAAATTCCTGCCTTGTAGTCTTCCAAAAAAGATTCTTAAAAAATCTACGGTTATGGTAGCCCTTGAAAATGATTATTTAACAATCGGCCGTTATGTCCTTAGTCCTTAAAAAAATCCTTTAACAAATCCACGGTTATGTAAGTCCTTGAAAACAGATTCTTTAAAAGATTCACGCTTGTGTAAAGTCATTGAAAAAATATTTTAAAAAATCAACTCTTATGCGATGTTCTTGAGAAAAATATTTTTTATAAATCCGATCATATTGCAATTCCAATAATATTAACCCTACGGTCAATAACCAAAAAAGTATACGTAGATCAATAACCGTGGTACATTTGTACCCATTCAAAGATTGCTCGGTAACTCATTAAAAAATTGGACTATCGTGAGGTTTTTTGTTTTAAATTAGTCTATACGGATCTGATCTAGATGTAGGAACTCAAAATTATATATACATTAAAATAATATATATTTAAATCCATGCTTAAATGATAATCTATCTAAAACAATCATAGTAAATTCGTCATAGCTTTCGAATGGATTAAGCTTTTTTAGTTATTTTTTTTATTGGGATCTTATTTAGGTGTTCCCTAACGCCTCTGCAAATTTTTGTGGCCCTAGACAACATGGGGCCATCAGGGCGACTCGTGGAATTCAGTAACTCCCTTGGTTTTCCTTTGGTATACAGGGACTAAAACAATTATTATTGCCAATTATTCACATTTTATGAGATTTGAGATTGTGATTGGCGCATTTTTAACATAATTTAATACTTTAAAACTTTATTTAATGATAGCTTATATATGTACGCCAATTTAGGATTGTAATAAATCAGACTAATTCGATTATAGAAAAAGTTTCAGGCCCAATATAAAGAGTAATTGGAAAATTACGGACAATAATCATTGTTTTTGTCCCTGTATGCCAAGGGAAAACCAGGGTAGTTACTGACTTCCACGAGTCGCCCTGATGGCCCCATGTTGTCTAGGGCCACCAAAATTTGCAGAGGGGTTGATGAACACCAAAATAAGATTCCAATAAAAAAATAACTAAAAAAGCTTAACCCATTCGAGAGCTATAACGAATTTACTATGTTTGTTTTAGATATATTATCATTTAAGCATGGATTTAAATATATATTATTTTAATGTATATATAATTTTGAGTTCCTACATCTAGACCAGATCCGTATAGACTAATTTAAAACAAAAAAGCTCACGATAGTCCAGTTTTTTAATGAGTTACAGAGATATCTTTGGATGGGTACAAATGTACCTCGGTTATTGATCTACGTAGGTAATAACTTTAAAAAATTTTAAAAATTATATATATGGAAAATATTTATAATTTTTTTCATCGATTATATGTGAAAATACCTCAAGAATGATTCCACAAAATTTGATCCAAATATCTCCATTATTAAACATTTTACAGCAATTTTATTCAAAAAAAGGTACAAATGTACCCGGTTATTGACCGTAGGGTTAAAAAAATTCGAGCTAAAATAATCCTTGGAAAAATATTTGAAAATTATTTTTAAGAAATCCGAGCTCTAATAGTCATTGAAAAATATTTCTTAAAAAATCCAAGCATAATAGCCCTTGGAATTTTTTTTAAGAAATCTAAACTCCAATAGCCCTTGAAAAAATATTTGTAAAATCCGATCTATAATAGTCCTTTAAAAAATATTTATATTAAATCCAAGCATAGCAAGTCTATGAAAAATAATATTTAAAATATCAAAGCTCTAATAGTCCTTGAAAAAAATATATTTTTTTAAATCCGAGCTTTTATAGTCCTTGACAAAAATATTTTTAAGAAATCCGAGCTCTAATAGTTCTTGAAAATATAAAATCCTCAAAAGATAATAATTAAAATAATCCACGCTAAAGGATAATCCATAAAATATTTTTTTTTTAAATATCCTTGGTTATGAAAAGTCCATAATTTTTTTTTAATCCACGCTCTAATAGTCCTTGAAAAAATATTTTGACAAATTCACGTTCTAATAGATCTTGAAAATATATTTTTTAACAAATAAAGTCCTTGAAAATATCTTTTAATTCACTTTAAAAAAGGTCTTTTTTTAAATCCATTCATGGCATGTCTTCGACAAATTTTTAATCCACATGACAAGTATTTGAACAAGTTGTACAATCACGCATTGGTGAGTCCTTGAAAAAACATTTATAAAGACCGACGCTTATGACAAAAACGAAAAAATTAAAGGCACATCTATGGTAATGTCAGCAAAAATATGTTTAAAAAAATTGCCCATTGTCTAGTCCATTAAAAAGATCTACCCAAGAGAACTGTTTGTAAAAAATCTATGCCAATGGAAAATTCTTTATACGCATAAAAAATTACGCCCTTGGAAAATATTATTTGAAAAAAATTGGAGGGTTTCATATCGAACATCTACTGATAAGGATAAAATTGCATGTCTGGTAAAATTTTAGATCTCCCGAAAACCTCAAATTATTCTTCTATACATCGAAAACTTCTATAGACAGAAGACCTTCTATTATTCTGAGGCATCGCAAACGGACCTCGTATGTAACATTATAATATATTTTTTTTATGAAAACTTACCTTCTTCTCTAAATTCCCTATATCCTCATCCATCGATTTACATTCTGGATGACCCTCGGGATAGCCTGCTACGCCAATGCTTATAGAATCTAAACCATAAACAAATGATAACAAAAAAATATTATTTATTTACAGATACTCAAAATTACTACTACAATTTTCTTATCAGATGTAAACAATTTTGTTTTTTTGCTGACATGCAATAACGGCAATTCATTATTAAAACAAAATATAAAATATATATTTTTTTCAAACATACCACCTCGTATTCTACGAATTGCCTCAACCAATTCCGATGAATGCTGATACTGTTGGTCCTTATCAAAATAATCTCCTCGTATAGAGAGAACGTTGGAAAAATCCATTTGTAAAAATTCTCTTAGTCTTTGTTCGGTTAGACAATAACATGACAGGTGAGGCATTACTCTCACATGACGATTTAATTTGTGGGCCAGTCGTATGGCTTCTATTTCATGCAGGTTTTCTATATTACAATAATCCATGCCCAACCATACAATGGAGGTGAACAGCGGTAGTAGCGGACCCAAGGCATTATAATCTAGCAGCACATTTGGATTATATGTACGTGCCAATATTTCAATGCCATAAAAGAATTCTTCATTGCGGATCTTCTCATTTATCACATTCCTTAAAAGTCTTTGATCAGCTGCTGTTTTTGATGTCTCATTTTCGAAAGACAGTGTTTGTTGTTGTGGCTCTGTGAATGCAACATTCATTTCATAGTATTTGGTAGATGTTTTTGGAGTTGGCAGTACATGGGCACCCTGAGCCGGTGTGGGACCCAGAGATTGCATAGTCATATTATTATTTTGTATACTCATTGTTGTTGTTAGCTGTTTGTTTTTCTGCATTTGTTGTGTTGGATCTTTCAGCTGCTGCGTGTTTTGTCTCAACTTCGTGATGCGATCAGCTGAGCGTAATACTCCCCTACGACTACCGATTGAAGTGCTTGCCGATAGCGTACTAAATACGCAAACTGGAATAATAAGAGTAAATATACGATGTTTGATTGCGTCAAAGCTCATTTCGTTACTAAGCTTTCTCACAATTAATTTGTAAATATAAATACCACGGGGAGATCTATTGAAGTGCAATTTTGGCGGGAATTTTTTCGTTCGTTTTTTTTTAATTATTGTAAATATTTTTGAACCATGTTTCTAATAGTTTTTTGTTTTTTGAACTTTAGCGTATCAAAGAACATTTTTACTTAGTCATGGTGGTTTAACAAGTAATTTGTATTTTTAAAATAAATCCCATTTTGAGCTTCCGGATAGAGGGCTGTGTCATTTAAAGTCAAGTGGGAATCCCCCATGTCAGAGTCGTAAAGGTCAGTGTTGAAAAATTAAATGCTTACAAAAATAAGAATTGAACAGGATTTAAACATATTAGTTGAAGAAATTTATTTTATTACCGGAAAATGGAGAATCCAAAAAACTGTCAAATATACTGGGCACTATAAGATAGAGGAAGTACTAAGCTATTAATTAAAATACATTGCAATTATTTCTGTGTCGTTACGCATTCAAAATTTATGTAAAGTTAGCAGCATTTGCAAACACTTGTCGTCAGCGCCATCTATTGAGTCGCATATGCAAACTTTAAACTCTTTTGACCAACTGTAAATATTTGAATGAAATTGGTGCCATGTGAAAGGTATAATTTACAGGTGCTTACGTAGTCATTTTTGGTGTATTTCCGAGTCGATTTATAGGCCACAAGCCAAACATCACAGCACAATCCAAGGTGAAGGGAATCTGGATAAGTAATTAGCAAGGATGTACTGAATATTGGGAATATTCGGAAAATATGTCAGTGTAAGGTATAGGTGCTGTTGATCTCTAATCGGTCAAAAGAGTGTAATTATCACGAAATATTGCCCAGGCACGAAAAAACATCCGCAGAAAGATGGAGTTCCGTGGTAGTTGTGTAGGGTATCGTATGGTCGGCCCGCCCGACTATACTGCTCCGAGATTGAGATTTTATTTAATGTGCGTTTTAAAAATTAATTACTGGTTATAGTAAAGTAGACAAATTACGCTTTTATGTGACACCAGACTCGAAAAACTGATGTGACAGATTTTAATAATGTCCATCATTAGATGGCGCTGACGAATGGTTTATAAAATTGCACAAATCATTTGTTTTGGGCCAGAACATTTTTCGTAGTGCAGATATTGAAGTAAAATTGGTATCATATGAAGGGTGCAATCATATAATTGTAAAAGAAATAAAATTTTAAAATTTGTTCTTACGGGATATCTAATAAAGTTTTAAATATTAGTTTTTCACTATTCTGTTACCATGTCAACTCCAGCAATCACTCTTGAAAGCTATTACAAAGATATTCCAAACTACACATATACGATTTATTTCTACCTCTGTCTTAACGCGTTCAAATGTTATGAATAATCCCAGAAAACTGTAACTTTCCGGAAAAATGCCAACTCTCTCGAACAGTGTTAGATATTGTAGGATAGTGAATGTTCAAAGCTATGCATACCCATTTGAATTAATTCTGTGCCATTAATCATTAAAAAGGCATGAAAAACGTCTGGTACCTTTGATTTTCAGTTAAAATGGTAACACTTGCCGTCAGCGCCATCTATTGAATGCATAGATCCAAAAACCGATCATTAAAAATTTAAACCTCATATATTTTCGCCATAACTTTTGATATATTTCTAATATGGAATTTAGTATCGATTAATTTTCTTTAATTTACCTCAGTAATGATTTTGTTATACAAATTATTTTCTAGGCATAGTAATGTAAACTATTTAAGCTTTCAGGTGCCACCAGTTTCGTAGAGATGCTCAAAAGTAATACACTTTGTATGCTGGGCTTAAAAATTGATGTGCCTGATTTGAATTAGCCCATCAATAGATGACGTTGACGACATGATCTTAAAATCTTCATTTCTTTTCGTCACAACTTTTTTCATATTGCAGATATTAAAATGAAAATGGTGTCATATGAAAGGTACAATTGTATAATTTGTTGTGAATTAAATAAATTAAAAAATAGGCTTTGAAGAATTAGTTTTCACTTTCCTATAACAGTAGCAACTCTTCAAAAACCTCATTAAACCCGTTTGCAAAGAAGATATTATAAGCTAAAAATATCCGTTTGTCTATGTATCGTTACGCGTTCCAAAGTTGTGAAGAATCCCAAAAAACTGTATTTTTTTTAACAAGGAGAGTTCCATTTGTCATGCGTAGATTAAAAACTCGGTTATGTAAAATTTAAAACCTTATTTGTTTTTTCTAAAACTTTTGACATACTGTATTTAAATAAAATTGGTGTCATATGAATGTTACAATTCATATTCTTGTAAAATAACAAAAAATTTAATTAAGAATTTTTATCTGGTTATATTAAATTAGATTATTTACTCATTCATATGACACAATTTTTGTTGAAATGCGATAATCGTTTCAAAAGTTATACACTTAGAAGTTTGGATTAAAAAAACTGATTTGGATTATTTGAATCATGGCCAGCAATAGATGGCGCTGACGACGGGTCTACGAAAATTGCATAACTCATTTATTTTTGCTATAACTTTTTTCGTATTACTGGTATTCAAATGAAAGTGGTGTCATATGAAAGGTGTTATCGTATACCATTTAGTGAAATAAACAGAATTTCTAAATTAGTTGAATATATTAGTTTCAGTATTAGGTTTTTAGATCCCGTGTATCTTTGGACTAAAATCGTTTCAGACAATGGATGTCTACCTGATTGGCGAGTAACCGATTTCCTCCAAACTTTGTACATCGTAATATTTCTTCTAAACATGAATCAAGTTCGAACATGCAGAATGTCGGTTCACTTCTTCTGGTGTCTCCCACAAAAAAACGGACGGGTTATCCGATTTCAACCAAACTTTTTTACCAGGCCTGTATAATTTTGAATGACGGTAATTTTGAAAACTTTTAAATCTCATATGAAGCAAACGGAATATAATTTTTCATCGAAACTTTGCATATTGTAATATGTTTACCTTATATAGATCAAGTTCGAGGATGGGATTCGTCCTACTCTCCTTCTGGTACCATCCCTCATTTTGCAAACCTGTAACTTTACTTTGAAACGAAGTGCTTAACCGATTTAATTCATTGTTTTCACATCGTAATATTTTTTCAAATCAACTTTGAATCCGAATATTGGGGGTCTATATGTCAACCTATGAATTTCAAAAAACTACTTACATACATGATTTGCACACCATTTAGTACTTTTCGTACACATAAGTATAAATTTCCTAACGTACCTACATGTTCTACACCTCGACGTCAATGTTAATTTTAAACTTCATGTTTCCTCCCCATCCGTTCGTCCAAATGCAAATTGTACCAAATTTAGTACTGTTTGGTACATTTAGTACATTAGTACTTTTCGGATACTTTTGGTTCGAAATTCCAAAAAAACTATCCTACACTCTCATGCCAAACGTTAGAGTTCTAGCTGGTACTTGGTACTTTTCAATCAATCTTGGGAGATTTTCATGTTCAGGTAATAGGCGCCTATAATCGAGCAGGAATATGCTTCGGTTTTTCGTTGAATTGAAATGCAAATATCTCAGCAGCTACTTAACCGATATTTATAAAATTTGTAGAATCGGTTAGCAAAAATACGGAGGTTTTATTAAGTAATGATAGTCCATGTTATTACATTTATAAATAGTGATTTTTTAACTATTATCTTTTAGGCAACACTTTTATTAACAATTTCCACACATTTCACTGTCAAACATCATCGGTTTGGTGTATAATTTAACGATGAATAAAAACGAACAACGCTTTCAAAACGTTGAATTCTATCATCATAAGGTGTGCTCTGTTAAGAAAGTTCATCGCACGCTTCTTCCACTTAATGATTGTACAATCGACCCACTGAAGCGGCTATTCGGGGCATTACATAACCAACATTTATAGATATTTTATAGAGTTTGTATTATGCTCAATAAAATATCTCACATGCATCGGCCAGTATTAATGATGACCACAATTGGACGTCTAGACCATATCCTTATATCAACCCTACTTCTTACACTTTATTCGCATTCCAAATTTCAAGTTTTTAACTAAAATTTAGTACTTTTCGGATCAATATAGTTCGGATGTCCAAAACCCCTTTGGTACATCAATCCTACATCATTGACCCTCATTCCAAATTTACCTGCTCGACCGGTTTGCCAAATACAAAAACTACCATTTGTATTTAGTACATTTTGTGCTGTTCTAGTACAAATTTCCAAAAATCAGCCTTATATGACACCTTCAAACTAAGCGTGACCTTTACCTCCAAATTTCAAGATTTTATCTTCAGCAAATTCGTCTGGGCTTTGATTTGATGAATCGTCAGGAAGTCAGTCAATCACTTTTATCTTTTATTAATTAAGAATTGAAATAAATTAATATAGATAAAATATACAAAAATGTTTCAATCACTTGCCATAATGTTTATTTAATATTCACATGTATTTTATATCCCTTTTTTCGTTTTTTTTTTCTAGGTTGGCGATGACCGATAATAAAGGATACGATGTTATAAATCCAAATAATTGCAGTTTATGATCAGGAACTACATTATCAATCTAACCTACGTAGGTTTTAATAAGTATTTTATAAACAATATATGTATTTAATAACAGTAAAAAATAAAATTCTAAACCGTAAATACAAATGTGTGTTTTTCTTAAATTTTCAAATTGAGATTATAGCTATTGGGGTTGGTTTAAAAAAATTAATTTGCGCCTAAAAGTATGCTCGAGTTCATGAAATCTATAGTTTTGCTAAAAAGGTTGGCAACACTGGCAAAGACATGCAAATAGCGCCATCTATTGATACACCATACCCCTCTGGGCAAAACGATTTTTTCATTTTTACAAAAATGACGAAAACTCGACCACGTTTAAAATAGAAAATTGGAAATTTCGCCATAAATTGACCATGTATACATAAAAAATCGATATGTATGAATTCTCTGTTAATTTTTCTGCATCCCAAAATGCTTTACAATA